ATGTGGAAAACATTAACACCAAAAAGAAACTAAATTCTTGATCTACTAGGTAATTACATTAAGTATTTAAAAGGCCCTGGTCAAGGATAGGACAGCAATACATCATTACGTTTTCCAGTCTGTGTACCGGAAGGGTTGCTTTAAGTCTTCTCTAAAGGTAAATCTTGGCTCATGATTTTTCTTGAAACTGTAAAATATGTGTTTTAATTTTGTGGGGTTTTGGTATAAGCTAATCAAAGAACGGTCTTTAGTCTTTGTGAGGAAGATTAAGGATGTTGCATGGCCTTTTCTGGATTTTAAGGATGGAAGTTGAGTACTAAAATGGGTTGATTTTGTACTCTGTTTTATGAATTAAAGAGGTTGCTTCTGCTTTGCAGATGCATTTTTGGTAGTAATCATGTCGGTGGTTAGTGGTTGTACAGTAAATTGAGGACTAGTAGTCAGTTTTGTTTGATTCAATTGGGCCTACAGATGATGTTCATTAGTGCTTTCCATGTATTTGTTGTGAAAGGGTTGTGAAAATTGTAAATGTTCCAAGAACCATTTCTTGTTCTGTTCTTTCCTTTTTTAGTTTTCTTTTTTTTTTCTTGGGGGTGGGTGGCGAAGAGGAGGGTCAGGGGGCAGGAGATTGGGTTTATTGGACTTTGTGGTTGGTATAAGAGGATGAGTGGTGTGATTATGGTTGTTGGCAAGTATGAGGTGGTAACGAATAGATGAAATTAAAGCTTCTAGGTGGGAAACATTATGATCTTTTCTCTAGCTAATATTTAAGAAGTAAATGCAACTAAAGCTTCATGATCCGCTGCTGCTGCTGCACATTTATGTATTGGCTTTATGGGCATTGTGTTGCTAATACTTATTCTGAAAGCTTTTAACTTTACGCATTGATCTGTCCTGTAATTGCCGATATGAAATGCATGTAGCTAGTTTTGTTAGCAGTTGACTTTATGTTACTGAGTGGATACAAGGTTTAGTTTTTCATTGATAGCAGATTGATCTTAAGTGTGAGTGGGTTGCAAAATTTCCCCCTGGAAGTGATTATTTCGTGGAATACAGAAAATTTGAACAAATTTAAATCCTTAGAATGGTTCCTAACTTTGAATCAAACAAAATGACATGGCTCGTGGCCTAACCCAGAGTAGTGGAAAAGGGTCATGTCTTTACATCGTGGCTCTTAGGTCTCATCATGAATGGCTTCGCCTCTGGAATCATGGCAATTTAATTTGATCTTTAGCAAATACATTGTGCCTTTTCTGGAAAGCTCTTGTTAGTATGATGATCTAATGATCCCCCACAAACTTTGTGCATAGGTGGAACCAACTAAAGATTGATGGGGACTTCATGATTATGACTGAAAGCTCTCATTTCATTGGAAAGTTTGGAAGCTACTGTTAGTTCTTTCAACTTGTTAGGGATGAGAATCTTTTAGTTTGTGCACAAGAGAGTATTTCAAGTTTGTGTACATGAGAATGTTTTAGTACTTGTTTGGGATTTTAGTACTTGCTGCGTTTGTACTTGTTACCGACTTTTAATTCAATGAATTATATTTGAGTATCGACTTCTTCTTTTAAATTGCTATATGCATTCTGCTCTTTGGGATAATTTTACAAGTCCCTTGGGATTCTGGTTGATGGAATGTACAGCAGGGAGGACTAATTGCAGGTTGCTTCCATATAAAAAAAACAGGGAAAAAACTCCTGGCAATTAAAAGTGTCAGCAAAGCTTAGCTTCGAAAAACACTAATGACAAATGGGCATGTCGCCGAAAGCAGTGTAAATTCACATGGCTACGTGTCCTTAAAACCATATATTAAGACAACTCAAGATGCCTTCATAAATTGGATATCCTACTGATCCACTACTGATGTTCTAATGCTATACTGACACTTTCGATTATCACAAAAAAAAGTTTTTGTTGGCAGAGGGAATGCTATAGCAGCATGGTATTCCTGACACATTTGAATGCCGCTAAAGATTGAGGCTATCCCCACATTGGAAGGGACAACACTCACCCTAGGTGTGAGGATAGATAAAGTGTCAGGTTAGATTATCTATACTGACACCTTTAAATGCCGTTAAAGGCCATTTTTGTTGTACTGTGTAGCACTTTTTGTGATTTGATGTATGTGAGATAAAAAAAGTAATTAGGAAGATAAAAAGATGTATTGGAAATTGTAATGGTGATGTAAGTAAATAAATTGTTAAAGTGTAAGATTACATCCAACAGAAAAAGTTCAATGCTTGAGGCATGCTAGAAACTTGAAATTCAATGAGGAATAGTAAATGAGGTAGCGTAACGTACTGTATTCTGTCTTGGAATTTTAGGGAAAGAAATGGGATTGAGAAAAAAAATTTACAAATCAAAATATACTCAACTTTGATCGTTATGTTGTATTTTGACCAATCGAAACGTCCTTTGCAGATAATTTATTTTACGATGACCAAACTTGTGAGAAACTTAAATTATTTTCAATTACATTTTCTTTTCCTTCAAAATGTTAGACATAAAGAAGGCCCTAAATAGGAAGGAAAAAATTATTGGAAAAATTTGCCTATTGGAACCGAAAGAATAGTTACTAATAAGAAGGGGCTAATTCTTCACATTCTTTCTAACTTTCTCCGCTCCTCTCAAACAAAATAATGCCTTCTTCCATGGGCGAAAGGAGGCCTCTCTCTCTCCAATAAATTTTTTTTTAATGTTGGCAGCTAATAAAGTTTTTCCTAGGATTTGTAGTAAGCGTATTATCATCTCTTAAGGTTTCCTAGTGAGAAAAATTTGCTTTCATAGACTATTTTTAATGTGAGTTTCTTCTCTTCTACAATTTTAGTGAAAGTTTTCTTTTACTTAATATTTTTTTCTTTGTCAAATCTCAGTTTTTTTTTATATCTGGTTGTCAAACATGAAATTTCTAAGATGTGTATTGTTAGGTCTCACTTTAATATATGAGTTTAAAATATTTAATTAGTAGATTGGGAGAAGACATCCACAGATATTCATTAGACTCAAAGCGATTGATATCATTTGGAATAGATTGGAGCTTCATAATGTAATAGTTGTTATTTTCTCAAATCAGGTGTGTTAGTAGATCCTTTAGATTTGTTATTTTATAAAATGTCCGATGATATACTTTATGCCATTAGTGTAGATCTCATGAATGAGATTATTATTATTTCTATGAAAAAAAAGGACAACACTTTTCATAATGCTTAGATGGGCATCGCTTACTATTTGAAAAGTATTAAGAACATAGAAGTTAAAGGGAAGGGGGGAGGGTTGGGTTGGGTGGTACGGGGGGAAGGAGTGTAAGTGAGAGGTCTCGGATTCGAGTCCTACTGCTTACACTAAACAAAAAAAGGTTAAAAAAAAATAGAAGTTAAAGGGAAATTATAGGAATATCCTTTTATAATGCGCTATTGGTGTGTTTGACCGGAGCCCATATTTGATGACATGGCACTACCACCTCATCACCCATAGACACATTGCACTATAGTGACTTGGGCGTGGCCACTGCCTCCCACCAAAAAATTGTCACAATATGTGACGGCCTCAATTGACTTTTCTCGATGGAATCTCTACTTACATCGAATCCTCCTCCCCCTCTTCCTCCCCCCTATATTAAGCTAGATTAGATTATAAAAATTCTACCATTGTGAAAAAAAAAAAGACTTGGGCGTGGAATCGGATGACATGTTAAAAAAATACTGTATTTTGTCCTCAACTTTTAGAAAACTAGCTATCTAAAAACAATTGACAAAGTGAAACTAAGCTCAAACTTTCTTTAATATGTTACATTTGACTAATTGAAATGCTCTTAATTGTAGATAGTTACTTTGGGAAAACAAAAAATGCGAGAGAAATCAAATTAGTTTCAATTTGTATTTTCTTTTCCATAACAAATCGTACATATAAAAAGGGCTATGAACAGGAAGGAAAAAATATTAGGAATGTTTACCACTTGGAAACTCGAAGAATAGTTATTCATGAGAGAAGTGAAACTTTTTCACAATTTTTTCTTAAGGCATTGACTACTATTTCAACGGTATTAAAGTAGAAGTTAAGGTGAAATTACAGAATGCCTTTTTAGAACAGGTTATGAGTTTATTTGATACAGACCATATTTGATGACATGGCATTGTCAGGATTGAACCTGATGGATTGCAGAAAAAGAAGGGAAGAGGGGGTGTTCATGAACTGAGAGAGAATTGGAAGGAAGGGAAAGATATTTTTATTTGGAAAATTATGAATATCAATCTCATTGCCGCCTACTTCACTCCTTATGCTATTTATAGCATTATTCATACTGCATCAGTACTAACCGACGTATAACAAACTGAAAACAATCATAACAGATTTCCTAACTAACTTTCAGTGCAACGGCACCGTTTCGCACAAGAATCTGACTTACAACCAAAAACTACGTCGCACTACTTATTTCCCTTGGCAATCTCCAAAATGGCGCCGCAATGTTCCAAAACTGCATCGTATCACTTATGATTCCTGACAATACCCTCGCCTTCAGAGCATCCTTGTCCTCAAGGATGGAAGTTTGGAAACTGGTGTTTGATGAAATCAAGGTCCTCCCAAGTGGCTTCTTCGAATCCCAGATTGATCCATTTGATCAAGACTTGTGACATTGGTTGGTGGTTTCGCAGTTTGGCTCTCCTCTTGAGTACCATTTCAGGAGCAACCTGAATTTGATTATCCAGACCCACTAATGGCAATGCAAGCATGACTACCTGAGAACCTCCCAACTTCTTCTTCAACATAGAAATGTGGAACACAGGGTAGATTCTGGAACCCTGAGGTAACCCCAATCTGTAAGCTACTGCCCCCACACGAGCAAGGACTGGGAAAGGACCATAATACTTAGAGGCAAGCTTCAAGGAATGCCTAACTTCCACAGACTGTTGGCGGTAAGGTTGAAGCTTCAAATAAACCATGTCGCCCACTTCCAAAGTTCTTTCACTCCTCTTTTTATCTGCAACAAATTTCATTCATTGCTACACTTGAGCCAGGTTCTGGCGAAGAATTTGCAACACAGCCTGCCTATCACGAACAAGATCACTAGCTGCAGGAACAATAGTATCAGAAATGCACCCCAAAGGTAGTTGGTTAGGTGTGTAACCATAGAGGGCCTCAAATGGAGTTATTTTAAGGCTAGTGTGGTAATTAGTGTTATACTACCACTCAGCCATAAGCAACCATGACACCACTTCTGAGGTCTATCACTACTCATGCACCTTAAGTATGTCTCCACACACTGATTAACACGTTCACTTTGACCATTTTTTTGGGGTTGGTAGGCTGAGTTGAGATTTAAGCGAGTTCCCAACAGTCTAAACAACTCCTGCCAAAAAAGACTGGTGAAGAGCTTGTCCCTATCTGAGACTATCACATCTGGTAATCCATGGAGTCTGGAAACATGTGTTAAGAATAGCTTGGCAACCTCCACTGCTGAGAAGGGATGCTTGAGGGGAATGAAATGAGAGAACTTGATGAACCTGTCCACAACTACCAATATAGTGTCCGCACCTTCAGAATTTGGCAAACTCTCAATAAAATCCATACTGATCTGCGACCATGCTTGGTTGGGAACTGGCAGAGGTTGCAATAAGCCAGGATAAGGAACATTCTCATGCTTGTTGCTCTGGCAAACATCACACTGTTTGACAAATTCAACTACATCTTTCTTCATCCCAGGCCAGTAGAAGACTGTGCCTAGTCTCTTCAGGCACCTCAGCTGGCCAGAATGGCCACCTACTGCAGAAGAATGCAACTGTTGAAGGATTTGGTTCCTCAAATTACCATGTTTCCCACTGTCACAGACTCCTCTTGCAGAATCCTTCTCCTGAATTCCTCTCCTTGACAAGGCATCAGCAGCTTTGTTCTCTGCTCCCTTCTTGTATTGGATTTCATAATCCAAACCTAAGAGTTTTGTTAGACACTTATGCTGCAGGGGTGTATTCAGCCTTTGCTCCAACTAGAATTTCAAGCTCTGGTGATCAGTTCTTATGATGAAATGATATCCCAGCAGGTAGTGTTTCCACTTTGTCACTGCCATTACCACGGCCAACAACTCCTTCTCATATATAGATAGCCCCAAGTTCTTAGGACTTAAGGCTTTGCTGAGGTAAGCTATAGGTTGTCCCTCTTGCATCAACACAGCACATATGCCTTCACTACAAGCATCAGTCTCCACTACAAATAACTTGGAAAAATCTGGCATTCTCAGCACAGGAGTGGTACTCATGATATCCTTCAGATTCTGGAAGGCTGTGGCTGCTGATTCATTCCAGCCAAAGGAGTCCTTTCTCAACAGGTCAGTCAAGGGCTTGCAAATCTGCCCATAACCTTGTACAAATCTACTGTAATAACCTGTAAGGCCCAAAAATCCCCTCAAAATCTTAACAATCTCAGGCACTGGCCAGGCTCTTATGTACTCAACCTTAGCAGCATCCATTTCAACCCCATTGTAGGATATGATATGGCCCAAGAACTCCACTCTCAGTTGAGCAAACATGCACTTGGACATCTTTGCATACAACTGGTGAGATCTCAGAATTTCCAACACTGTTCTCAGATGGTTTACATGTGATTGCAGGTTTGGACTGTGGATGAGTATGTCATCAAAGAAGACAAGTATGAATTTTCTGAGGTAAGGCTGGAAGATCTTATTCATGAGGGATTGGAAAGAGGCAGGGGCATTAGTGAGGCCAAAAGGCATAACTAGGAATTCATAATGGCCTTGGTGAGTTTGAAATGCTGTCTTATGGATGTCACAAGCCTTGACTCTGATTTGGTGATAACCAGATCTAAGGTCAATCTTGCTAAAGACTTAGAGCCAAATAATTCATCTAAGAGTTCTTCAATATTGGGAATAGGGTACCTATCCTTGATGGTGAGGTTATTTAGAAACCTGTAATCTACACAGAAACGCCAAGTACCTTCTTTTTTTTTTACTAGCAGGACAGGAGAAGAAAATGGACTAGTACTAGGCTTAATGATCCCAGTTTGAAGCATGTTAGACACTTGGTTTTCAATTTCTGTTTTCTGGGAGTGTGGATACCTATAGGGTCTGAGTTTAAAGGGTTGAGCCCCTGGTTTCAAAGGTATAGTATGGTCATGAGCCCTTTCAGGTGGTAATTGTGTAGGTTCAGCAAACACATCAGAGAACTGGTGCAGTAATTCTGAGATTTCACTAGGAAGTGGACTTACATCATCTGAGTTGCTATTCTCAGGCACTGAGCAGATTGATGCCAAGGTTTTGTGTTTCTGCAGCATGAATTTCTTTATTGCCTTCCCTCTGATAAGCTTCATTGAGGGTTGCTTAGCTGCTCCTTCCAACACCATTTCCCCATCTTCTTCTGAGAGTTTAATCAGCAGCTGTTTGAAATCGAATGTGTAGGACTGTATTGCACCATCCAATCTACCCCAAGTATCATGTCCTATGTCCCTAGTTCCATGATTACCAAAGGAAAGCTGAAGTTATACCCCTGGATGCTCCATGTCACATTGGGGCATGTTTTTCTCAATTCATATCTTTTGATGATTACAAAACAAACGGATGTTACTAATACTTTTTGTAGAGACTCTTTTCAGAAATAGCACTAAACGGGTTTGAGGACTTAGAGCAAAAAAAAGATAAAAAAGGATGAAAAGTGCTGAGGAAGATGTCGGACGCACAAAAGGAGAGTATCGGACGTCCGACATCCATTGAGTAACTTCGGACGTATGAAAAACTCAGACTTGGACGTCCGAAGAAGACAAGCCAGGGCTTCTACGATTACTGATCACGATCGGACACTCAACACCTGAGCATCGGACGTCCGACAAGCGTTGCTGCACTTCGGACGCAACACATTGGACGCATCGGCCGTCCGAAAGAATTGAAGAGGAACCTCCAAATCTGCATCTTACCCTCGGATGCATGGTGAGAGGGGATCGGACGTCCTAAGAGGTTCAAGAAAATTTCTCGAACTCACTGACCTCGCTCGGACGCATAAAAACTGACTATCGGACGTCCGACAACACCAACGGCTAGTTGACTCTTCAGATGCCTTCTATCCGTTGACAGCATTAATTGAAGAATTTCTTGGTCTCCTATAAAAGGAACAAAGCCAACCACCTCAGATCAACTTTACACATTAAGTCTACATCAAATCGCGAGTGATTCAAGTGTTAGAATACTCCAAAAGGAACATTTGTATTCTCAGCTTGTGCAATTTTCTTGTAGCTTTTCAAGTGTGACACAACTTCTTCAATAGTGTAGCATTGTGAGGGTTATCCGAGTGTTTGTAAAACTTCCTTGCTTGACCAAGTGTGGTTTGGGGCAAGAAGGAAATGATCCTTTTCTTGTACACAAGAAATTGGTTGCAAGATTGTTCAACTTGAAGTAGCTTGTTATATAAAGTGTTGTTCAAATTCAAGTTGAGTTTGAAGCCTGGTTTGTTTCTCTACTTTCGTTTACAGTTTTACTATATAAATTGTTCACTTCTTCATCTCACGAACACCTGTGCTTTCTTGTAAACTGTTCCATTGAGTGGTCTTTGAGAAAAGAAGGATAGGCTTGAAAAAGAGTGACCTATATCTTAGCTGGTTTTAGAAAACCTAATTCACCCCCCTCTTAGGTTGTTTTCGATCCTTACAGAGCAAAACAGCTCACTGGAAATGGTGGTTCCATCAGCAATTGTGGCCCTCAGTGGTGTCATCTTAGCTATTCTTAAGGTCATGATATTCAATAATATGGAATTTAGAAAACCATTAGTGCTGCCAGTGTCAACCAGAACAGATATAGTTTTTCCTTTCAACACCCCTTGCAGTTTTAAAGTTTTTCTCTTGATAGAGGTTGTCAATGTATGCAGGGACACATCTACTGATTCCCCTGGATGGCCAGTATGCTCATCCTGCTCCCCAATGGCATCAAGAAATTCAGGTTCTTCATCTTCTTCCAGAATGAAATTCAGATGCCTATACTTGCACTGATGACCAGGACTGAACTTCTCTCCGCACTTAAAACATAGGTGATTGTTCCTTCTGCGCAAGATCTCCTGAGGAGAGATCTTCCTGCTTTCCATGTTAGTGTTTTCAGAAATTAACTTCTTTTGGCCAAATGGTTCTGAAACCCTTCCCCCTGTGCTGGTTGTTGACAAGGCACTGGAGGGTCTTGAGTTTTCCCCAGGCTCCCAGTTCCTAGTGTTTTTGGCATACCTACCATTCAATGCCAGTGACTGTTCCTGCCATTTTGCAATCTCAAAAGCCTCAATTAATGTATTAGGCTTCAACATCTTAACCATAGGCCTGATTTCCTCTTTAATGCCACTGATAAAGCTGGAAACAAAGTAAGATTCAGAGAGGTGAGGGTCCCTTACTAACATCAAAGAGCTCAGTTCTTCAAATCTCTCCTGATAGTCCTTGACAGTGCTGGTTTGGTGGAGTTTATTGAATTCCTCCACCTCATCTCTTCTTCTTCGATCTCCAAACCTCCTCTTCAACAATTCGCAAAATTCTTCCCAAGAGATTCTTCCCTTGCTCCTCTTGACTCCTTGAAACCATATTTCTGCTTTCCCTACCAGATATATCTCCATTACTTCCAATTTCTGGTCCTCAGGAAGTTGATGGATGAGAAAGTATTTCTCACATTTCCTGATCCACTCCTGAGGCCTGTCTCCTTCAAAGAAGGGAAGATCTACCTTAGGGGGATTTGGAACCGTAACCCTGTGCTTCTTGCTTGCCGCTGACTAATCAACCCAATCTCTGTATTTCACATGTGGATTGGAAAGTAAAGGAGTCTTCTCTTGTAGAGGAGATTCCCCTGGTGCGGCTACTCTGTCTCTATTGAGAGCTTGAAGAAATGAAGTCAACTTCGTCTCCATTCCTGCCATTAATGCATCAATCTTCTTATCGAGCTCCTCCATTTTGGTATCTACATGTGTTCGAGTCTCCTGTAGTTCTGCTTGCATGGAATTGACTTGAATCTGAACCCTAGTCTCAAGTTTCCTGAGTTGTTCATCCAAATTCTTGAGTCTAGTACCATCTGCCATCGAAAGGTATGCGAATTTCACCAAGGATTGAAGGCTCTGATTACCACTTGTCAGGATTGAACCTGATAGATTGCAGAAAAAGAAGGGAAGAGGGGGTGTTCATGAACTGAGAGAGAATTGGAAGGAAGGGAAAGATATTTTTATTTGGAAAATTATGAATATCAATCTCATTGCCGCCTACTTCACTCCTTATGCTATTTATAGCATTATTCACACTGCATCAGTACTAACCAACGTATAACAAACTGAAAACAATCATAACTGATTTCCTAACTAACTTTCAGTGCAACGGCACCGTTTCACACAAGAATCTGACTTACAACCAAAAACTACGACGCACTACTTATTTCCCTTGGCAATCTCCAAAATGGCGCCGCAATGTTCCAAAACTACACCGTATCACTTATGATTCCTGACAGGCATTATCACTTCAGCCGAGACTTATGGCTGGCATTTACAAGACTGGGCTACGAGACCAAATGACATGTCATGACACGTCAGTTCTACCGGCCCTTGACTGATGACGTGGCCGGGGCATGGGTGCTTGTGTGATATATTGACCTTGGCAAGTAAAACTTCAAAAAAAAAATACATTGCCATTTCATTAAAAAAAAAGAGTAAAACTTCAAAAAAAGATATGTAGGTGTGCATGTCAAGTCTCAAACCTTGGTTTGCAGGGTAAGAGCAACACTTGGTTATCACTTTGCTTAAAGAAGTTTAGTTCTAAGGTATAATACTTATTATAATTTTACTTAAAGCAATTTTATATCAAGGGTAGCTTTTTATACTCCATGAATGCTTCTTTTTCTTTTTCCTTTCGACAGCTTCATTCAATTATGACAACCATCATATGAGAATTAGGATAGCAAAATATAATTGTCTTATGTGTAATATGTGTTGACAAAAAATTATTGTTGATTCTTTGATTACTTTAATTTCTGAAACATATATTCAGTAATTTTGCTGTATGTGGTAGTAAATCCATCTAAATAACACAATATAGTTTCGCATTTTTTTTAATATGCCAGAGTGGCATGCCAATTTTGTGAAAATTTTTATTTCAACTAGTTTGTTAGAATACACAACTTTTGTTACATTATATACATAAGTCGAAGTATAATTTAGTAACTCACATGTTTAAAGTTTAAAGTATTATTAGTTTTCGAGGGACTAAAACAAGCAACCGTCTTTAGTTTTCCAATTTTTGGCATGTGGCCATATAACCTCTTTGCTTATTGATAAGTAAGTTCATTTCAATGAATTATGTCCTGATTCTATATATAACGTAAATTTTCTTTTTCCTCAACTTGACAATTTGTGCACACAACTTTAATAGGTTGTGTACATAAGAGCAGTGTCATGTACATTCAAGTGCAAAAGTACAAAAGCTTATAACCATCAATTTTAGTTGAAAAATTATTGAAAATCACATGATAGATAGATAAAATAAATAGCATGCATATTTTTATATTCTTGTTTTTTGTCCATCTATCTGTAACTAAGGGCAAAATTAATACACCATGTAAGTTCTTTTTTTGCAACTAGTAGTACATTTCATAAATAAATTAGTATAGTTTTGTGCACCAAGTACCAAATCTATAAGCATAGTTGTTTATGTCAATTGTAATCATGTGATCAAGAGCATGTTTTTTCAATACCTTGATAAGTTCGAGACAAAAAAATTAGCTTCATCTAAAACAAGTACTACCTTCTTGTACAAAAAAAAATACTTATAAGTTATATGAAATATGCCGAATTTTGTCCAAGAAATACTCTGCATTCTATTGTCACCCTAAATTATCAGCAGATAGGAAAAACAAAAGAAAACAAAAACATATTTATTATTCATTTATCCACCTAACCTGCTATTTCTAGTAATTTTTCCAAAGAAAAATCAATGACGACCATCTATTATAGTTGTGCACTTCCCTATAAACGACACCACTCCTATATGCAAGACCTGCCAAAGTGTGTGCACAAGATGGGTACTTAATCTGCTTTTTTGAAAATATAATTTGCAAAACAAAATTTGTCAAATTAAGGAAGTAAAATTAAATACATTATGTATGCCATTAAGACATAAGTTATTAATTTAAGTTCACTAGAGATAAGAAATTGGTTATGTAACTACATGCTAATAGTTTGAAAATTAAAGATGATTACATATTTTACTCTCTTTAAAAGATAAAGCTTTAAACACTAAACATGCCACCTGTATAAATGACATGCGTGGGGTATACATACACAATTACCTCATTCATAATCAAGTTTTACATTTATAACATCATAAATATGTCACACGAGATTTTTCGCAAGTATACGAGTCCAGAGCGAGTATAGGGTATTAAGCGTCAAACCCACAAAGAAGATTTTAATTACCGATAGTTTTCAAACTCCTTTATTATTTAGACTATAAGCATGAAGTAAAAGTAATAAAATTAACACTAAAAAACTCGTTGAGGTAAGGAATTCCTTACTATTCTTCCTAATGGGATTACCGGTTAAGTGAATGCTATTATCTTGACTAGTTATGACATAATTCCCTAATGCATGTGAAACATATTCTCGTAGTGAATCAATTACACTTATAGCTAAACCATACCTACTCTCGTGGTTATGAATTAACTACAAGCTCATTTCTTCTATGAAATTACATGAAACAAGTCATTAAAACCACAAAGGCGCTCCTTTACTCTCGTGAGTGAAATCCCTAGGTTTACCACTTCCTTGAACTTTCTCAATGGAAATTAACACCTTTAGATTATTACAATTAATAGCTAGTTAATCATGATTAGCTAAGCAAAAGTGATAAATAACTTGCTCAAAATAATATCATCAAATAACCAAGTAAACATCCCTAAAAAGATATAAAAAGTTCATCCATGCTCTAGGCATAAACTTTAAGTAAACATGATAACAAACACTGAACTTGTATTATAGTTAAACATGAAATCATATACAAAAGAGAAAGTGATAGGAGAGAAGTCACCCTTATCACATGAGCTTCACACTCTCCATCTTTGCTCCTCAATTTTCATCCAAATCTAACTACAAATATAAGAAGGATAACTACACTAACTATACTATACTACTCTAACTAATGAACTAAGGAAACTCCAGTGAAGACTACATTTTTGGTGAGTTTCTCTAGCCTTCCAAAGTTATTAAAGTGTCCTCCAAAGGCTGCTATTTATAGAGGAATTCCATGCAAAAGACAACGTATTAAATCATGTTAAGATTCCTCTTGAGCCCACAAACAAGCTAGATTTGAGTTGTAAAGCTTCTTTTGCAGCTGTCTTGGGCTGTTTCCACAGATATTCTTGCAAACAAAAAAGGGTCAAAAAGCTTGTGTGAATAAAAGACAAGTTGCAGAGCAAGTTGCAGCCAAAATTGAGGAATACGCAACCTTGGAATACGCGGCTTCAAGCCACGTATTCAAGGGTCGCGTTTTCACTTCTGTAAATTTGGCACCACTTCAACTGTTATTTTCTCAATGATGGAGGCTGAACTAGCTCTTGTACAAAACATGAAAGTTGTAGCCCTTTGAGTTAGCTTTTCAATGCCTTAAGAATTATCTAATTTGGAGCTCTGTGAACTGATAAATGACCAAAATACCCTCAATTGATCAAAGCTTTGTTTCAGCTTTCGCCAACAAAGTTGCACTTCTATATTTCAACTTTTTGACTATGAAAAATGACTGAACTAGACTTCAATGTCTTCATACCAAATCTAAATCTATCTCTTAGCTTCAAAATGGTACAAGAATCACCTCAATTTGATACTTGTACCTTAAGATATAGCCGAAATACCACAAGGTGTCAAAGCTGTGAAACTTGCTTCCTTTTATTCTTGATTGCATTTCCTCTTTTGCACTTCATATTCTCTTTTTATCACTTCAAGCCATCATCAATCATCCAATTATCTTCTCAACTTAATCCATTTGATGATTGAATTATTAAACCTACAAAAACATGAAGTTTTTGCTATTAAAATCCATAGAAATGCAATTTTCAGACTTTAAACCATAAAATGCATATTTTTACTAGAAACTTAGTTAATTAGATAAAAAATAGCTAAAAAAGTAAATAAAACACACCAAAACTAACTAATAAAACACATTTAAAATGCGTAAAATATATACTTATCAATAATCTAAATTTAATGATAATTAACCAAATTTGTGCATTATTTTAATTTTTTTATTTAACTTGTTATGCACATGATATTCTTGCTCACAACTGGTGTATCATTTTAGTGTATCTCCAAAAATAGTTCTTGCACATCATGTTTATCTATATAGATTTAATACAGTAAAACAAATTGGCAATACATGAGTTTAAAAAATTATAAGTAATGAGAGCATAGTCAAGAATATTTTCTTAAAACATATTATCACATTTGACAGGACAACGATCTTTTGTTGTTAGAGTTCTCGCTTGGTGGATGTCATAAGAGAATGAAGTTATCTAAAAAGAAATGAAAATTGTATTATCGTAATTATTGTGGAAGAGAAGGAAAAATTACTCTATAGTGTGGGAGAGAATCGTGTGTTGCTAAAATTATATTATTTGTTCCTCCTAAATTGCTGGAAAGTAATTAGAAAGTTCTATCTTGTAATTAAATCAACTAATTTATGAAATAAACCTATTACAATGACTCTTCTATGAAATTATTGCACAAAATGTATCATTTTCTAATGCACATGCACATACATCTTAATATAGAGTAATGAAAAAGGTGTACCAATAAAATCGAGCATCTAAATGCAATTATAGGATCCAAAAATAGCTGTAAATGTCAAGAAAGACAACACAATGGAAATGCATGAAACTGTTATAAAACTAATGTTAATGTGATACAGGATTTGAGTTATTTATGTGGTGGGTAATATGCTAAAAAATAGGAAATTTAAAGGGCTCAGGAGAAGTGAAATGAAAGAAATCAACTATTCTTTCATTCACTCAAATGGAACCTCAATTTTCTATTACTTTGATACAGAG